TCAATAGTCAAAGAAATCTCTTGCCAGGCACTACGGGAAATCTCCAAAAGAAGATTGATACGCCATGGCTTGGGATTTTGTGCAAGGGGTTTAGATTCTTCGAAGATATACTTGTACATAGCGGAAAAAAAAGGCTGGTACTGAAGGAATACTAATTTACGACTATTTAGTGAAATGTGAAGAGGACCTATGATAGGAAGAAAAGATAATATGTGATCAGTAATATTCGATAATTCACGATAAGACAAATAACGCGAAATTGCCGTTCAGAGATAAATTTGTCCAGGCCAATCGGCAACGACAGGTATAACATTTCCCCTTTCAATATATCGTTGTATAGACGGAACACTTGCAACGGTACTAATAGCCTTAATATATGCATCTACGTTGTGAAGGTCATTTTCTTGTAAATCTACAAGAATGGTGTCTTTCATGGAACGAGTGCTTCGTTTTTCCTTCAACCTAGTGTCATAATTATGTGTAGTTAGTTCTTCTAATATCGTGTCATTATCCACCACCCGAAACCCCCAACGTTGATTATGCGAAAAACCAAAAAATTTCATAAACTTAATCGCCATATTCGTTTTAATTAATTCAGCATCGACTAAAAGAGGATTGTGTATATTTATTTTCGAAATAGCCTGTTGTGTTGTGATTGGGTTCATTAAAATTGTTGCCAAATGTGCTGCATCCGACGTGGTAGTCGTATTTGGTACTCTCTTTGTATGGATGCTGTGATAGTCGTCAATATTTAAAACCATCGCATTTTCTATATGTTGTGCAAGTGCAGAATCGACAGTGCTAGCATGTTCTTCAGATATAGCTGTTTTATGCCGAGTAACTGTACGAGATGTTGTAGTTATACCCAAATCGGCGAGAGTATCTATTGAAGAATTAGATGCACCGACAGAATCCAAATACATTGCCACATCACTCTTCATATTATTCACAAACTTGTTGCGAATTCCACAAAGAAAATAACAGGCGAATAAAAGTTGCTTCTTTATTCATATCTGTGATTCTTTACTTTTATAAAGTGGGTTAGATGATAAATACAATTCTTTAAAAAACAACTTTAACCTCCTATCTTCCTGTTCCATAGTTGTCTTGAGTTCGTCAAATGAATATATTGTTGGTCTTTTTTCTTTAACCTCTCGCTTATATAAAATATCCGTTATCGTCTCTATTGCTTGAGAAAAAGATAAAATGGAGTTAGTATTTTCAACTTCAATTTCAGACCTAATTTCTTCGGAATGCTGTTTGAATTCAAAAGAACTATTTACGGCAATGCCATTATAACAGTTTGAACAAATCATATCGCCTAATTGAAGATAACTTAGTAAAGTATTGTTGGATCGGGCTTTGAAAGAAAACTTTCAGATATTCTTCTCCATTGAGTTGATTCCTTTCGGCAAATTGTAATAACATACGGTCCAGTAAGTACAGTACGTGGTGACATATTTAACTTTTAATAAGCGCTTTATTACTAGTACAGTGAAAATTAGAAGTGTAAAAGACTTGAAATCTGTATAAGTACTTTAAACTATATAAATTACGATTAATTGATTAAATGTGTTAAATGATAATTTTGATTGGTTAATTACTACGGATAATCACGGATAAATCTATAAAAATTAGCCAATCAAATGAATGTCTTCCTATGAGCTTGATTTATTTAACTTTATTATATTATCCCTTGATTGATCAAGATCGGGGCACTTAATTATATCTACTGGTAGTCAATCAAATAAATAAATCAAGTAATAGTAATTAAATAAATCAGTAATCATCAGTACAACCAATATTAAGAGTCGATACTTATAAGGTAATAGAGTAATAATGAAAATATAATACAATCGTTAAGAAACTTAATGATTAAAATAATGAAACAATAAATACAACACTAAAACATATAACAATATTGAGAAATTGATTCTTCTTATATCCCTTATAACCAAGACATCGAAGTCTAAAGTTTTATTTAAAGAGCGAAAAGACAGCTCTTTTATATTTTCAGAATACATTAAAGGCTTACAACAAGGAGCTAGGTATATTTATATTCCTAATTCTATGTCTATACTTTGTTTTTATAATCTTGTTAATCTTACCAACCTTAGTCTGATCAAACCTATGCCTCCTAAGCCCATTCCTGGAATATCATACTAGGCTTTCACATTTAACCCTTCCTTTTACCTCCATTTGAGAACATCTCTAAGCTTTAGTACATGTCTAACTCTTACACTATACAATAATAAATAAATAAAAAGAATCTATAGATATAAAATAAACAGAAATAATGAATAATTATGCAGATCTAAACTTCTAAGCCTTTGCCACAGACTTAGCCTCACAATACTATTATGACCCAGGGCATACACATTCTCGTTACTACAAGTCATGATTTTTCTAAAAAAATCGCAGATAGGTTAAGTCAGTGAATATTTAATTTTATTCATGATAATTTGTGGGCGAGTATAGAGCACTTATTAATCGAAGTAGGGCATTTAAGTTCATGAAGTATTAAGGGAATTGACATAAGTAAGGCCCCATTTTCGCTTATAATATAATCAAAATTTATTCTATGATATGTATATAGTATAATATAAAATGCATTATATTTTTTCTACCTGTTATTATACTAACAATAATACATAATACAAGACTTTGTTATTGACTCCTAGCTGAATTCAAAACATTTGTAAGAAGGTCAAGGCATTCTTGAAGATCTAAAACAAAATTAGAGCCTAATATATTTTCTGTATCGGTAGACTGTGATTGTGATTGCGATCTTTGTGTATTAGGTTTAAAGGCATGAGTTAATCCAAATGATGGGTATGTGGGTGGTGTGTCTAAATCGATAATTTTCATCTTCTAAAAATATACATGTATTCGTTAATACTGTATGTTACATATATAGGTGTTATGTATTAAACCAGCCTTTTTTGTACAATTTCCTTTTAAAAAAAGGTTAGTATAAGTAATAAGAGCTAATCATATATGCAGATCACAAAATGAAAAAAAAACTTTTAATATTTAAATCTGATTTACCATTACTCAAAATGCTGTTTTAATATATAATATCTCATGTATTACGTGAAATTAAGGGTAGGGTGTACAAATTTCTAATTTCATATAAA